TCAGTCAAAAATCAATGTAAAAAGGAAGAAACCACAACAACCATAGGAAATATGAAAAGGTGACATCAATGTGACAAAAATTTTTAGAGATACCAAGAAGCAAGAAACACCATGAATTTGGGCTAACAGAAAGATCAGAGAAGTAAATATTGCAATTCAAGAAGTCGTAAGAGTGTGATTTCCCAAAGAAGCATTAATCACAGAGTCAAAGAATGTGAAGAGTAGGGGTGGGCTGTGAGGCAGTCATTGAAGAGTCACAGTGGAAACAGCTGGGACAAGTGGCCCTTTCCTTCTTTCCCCCATCCCCCAGTGCCTTGGCCCTCAGACTAAAGTTGTCTAGAGAGGCCTCTAGGAAGGGTGCTGAGACCTCCACAGCAGATGGGAGGACAAAACCAAAAGGAAAACTAGTACCAGTCAATAGTGAAACCTTCTGCAGGGCTCCACCCCCAGAGAAAAGCCCTCCTTACTTAATCAGTTATGGGGGTCCCTGGTCTTCCTGCCTCTCCACCCACATAACCTAAAGGGAAGCCTGACTGTTGACATTTCCTACCCACTTATACAGAACCCACAGTCAGCCCTCCCATTCCGGAGAGAGGTTTGTGGGGGAAACAGATAGATCAACACAATTGCAGAGGAAATTCATGCCATCTACCCATAATAACTAACACAGGTTTTCATTCACAAATATGACCAGACAACTAAAAATCGTCAAGAATTTGAGAAAAACTAGCAACACAAATGAAAAGGACCAAACTAATCAAATGGGACTGAGCCAGAGGAAAAAGAAAGAATTAAGGGAATTGAAGAAAATTTAAATACATTCTGACATAGATTACCAGAAAAGCTAGCCAAGTGCTGTTCTCCCAGGTTAAAATATTTTGCAACTTCCTCTTCTGTCTCCTTAAAATAATATTTAGTAATTAGGCAAAACTTACAAATTCCTTACAATCTCTCTGGAACCAAAGGTTCTGGGTTTTTATTTTTTTAATTATCTTTTTCCTCTAATAGCTAACAGTAGAAAAATCAGACAAGTCCATTATGATGTGATGTGGCAAATGCTACGATAGATTAAGCATAGAAGAGGTGGGGCATGGTGGTTCACGCCTGTAATGCCAGCACTTTGGGAGGCTGAGGCATGTGGATCACCTGAAATCAGGAGTTCAAGACCAGCCTGGCCAACCTGGTGAAACCCCATCTCTTCTAAAAATACAAATATTAGTAATGCAGAGTGGGGCATGCTTGTAATCCCAGCTACTCAGGAGGCTGAGGTTGGAGAATCACTTGAACACGGGAGGTGGAGGTTGCAATCAGTCGAGATTATGCCATTGCATTTTAGCTGCGAGACAAAGCAAGACTGTTTAAAAAAAAAACACACAAACATTAAGCACAGAAGAGAGCATCTTGCCAGCTGAGACGGAATATTTCACTTAAACATTAATAGATAAGACAGAAGGGAATCAGCCTGGGCACATGGATAGCATGAAAAGCACAGCACATTTCAGGAAATAAAACTAGTTTAAAATGCTTGATGCTAAGGATTGAACCTGAAAGAGTCGTAGATGATGAAGAGAGAAATGTGGGCAGGGGTCAACTCATCTGCCGTGTTAAGAATCGAGACCCTTTCCTCTAGTCTACAGCTTCTCAGACATATTCAGGGAAAAGAACCCTTGGGAGGCCCTTCATACAACAAACAAAATACTGATATATTTAACTCATATGTACTGGAAATAATTTTCCAAGCAGAAACTATGACTGTGTGCTAGGTTATCAATAGAAAATCACAACCACAAGCATATTCACGTCAAAAACAAACTGTTGAAGTATGATCCATTGCTTTTCTTATTTTTCCCTTGATATTTGCTACATATCAATCACCAGCTAGCAGAAAAGCAATAGTAGAAAAGAGTGACCAAGGTTTAAGAAAATTCTGTGTAAAAATAACTGAAAAATGAGACTTCAATCCACTAACTTAATTCTTTCTGTAAACTTAGAAAAAGATAGCCAATATTTGATTTTGGCTATAGGCACTTTCAGGCACTCTTATAAATGTATACATTTCTTGGAAACTAAGTTTGATAATCATTTCTTGATGTGTTAGGCAGCTGAGGACATTAAAAGGGAGCCCAGTCTCTGTTAGGGAGAGACAGGCATGAGAGGTTCTGAGACAAAGGACTTCTGATACAAAATGAGAAATCAAGAAGCAGCTTAAATTGGGAAACTGGAAGGGGAGTCAGTTGTAGCATTAGGCAGAGGACCAGGCAGAAGGATGGTAGAAAGAGAAGGCTTCAAGTATTCAGGTATAAGCAGTGTATTCTGGAGTCAGTTTCATTCTTGTTGAACATACCTGGGGCAGTATGTCAATATACTTCCTTGGGTCTGGCACAGGGTCTTAGGGGGTCAAAGCAGATCAGACAATATGGTCATTTATAAGATTTAGAATTAATGTTCTGCTATCAGTGTGAAAGATGGATGGGATGAGACAGAAAGAGAAACAAGAAGATAAGTTAGGATGGTACAATTCAGTAATTTACAAAAGAGAGTATATATAGGCCTGAACTAAGATGATGAGAGGGGCCACAGGGAGAATTGGTGGCAACCAAGGCAGTTTTTGGAAGAAGAAGCCACTGGGATTGGGGCAATCTGGGGCAAGAGAGAGAGAAGAATCATGGATAGATCCCAGATCTCTGACTTGGGCAATTAGGTGGGTGGCAGGACCATTCACAGAGACATGGAGAACCTTAAGGGAGAGCAGGTCTGGATTGGATGTAGAGTTGGGAGATAAATTAAGTTTGGAGCACACCAAATGTGAGGTGGCTTTGGGATATCCAAGTAGAGATTTTCAGAGCTGTAAGCTGTATTTACAAGTCTGAAGTTCAGGGTTGCAGTTACAGATTTGGGATTTATCCCAAAGAAGATCAGATTGAAACCCATGAAAGTTCATGAAACCCATGAATCATCCAGTGAAACCATGGAGAACTAGAAGAGAGGGGAGGAGATAAGAAGGGATGAGGAAAGTAAATAGTGAGGAAAAGAAATACCAAAGTTTTAAGGGGTACAAAGAATAAAGAGGATTGCGTGAAGAAGGATTCTGAGAGGCAGAAGCCATTAAGAATAGGGTGATATAGAATTCAAGCGGGGAGAGCATTCAGGAAGATGGCAACAGGATACTAGGTCAACAGAGTAATAGAGAGGTCACTAAAAATAAACTCTAAGAAGAATTCAGCCAAACTATTATTGAGCTAATAATGGTGGGAGCAATTTAAAGGGAATATTGTGGGCAGAAGTCAGACTGTAGGAGGCTGGGGATCAAGAAGTGGAGACAAGGAGGTTGGACAACAACTGTTTTTTCAAGTTGCTCACGTGAACAAATCCTGACATTGTCTGCATCTCTGTGGTCCCTTCAGCATCCCCTCCCTCGGGTCTTGGCTGAGCTGATTGCAGGGCCCTTGCAGCTCTGGCACTCTCAAGTTGTATAAAACTGGCTGTGCAGAGGTCCTTGAGCCCATTTTGGCTCTCAAGATAATTTTCCTTCAGTGGAACTAAGATTACTTGTCTAAGAACCAAAGTCTCTGACTTGACTGATCAAAGTATGTCACGTGCATTGAAGCCATCTACTTGGCAGATGTAGTGAAAAGCTACATAGATCTGGGCCCAGGACAGGATGCTGGGGCGTGGGAGGAGGAGAAAGCAGGTGCTAACTATACAGACAGCATGTCTGTAAGATCAGTTTTTACATTTCCTATTTGTGTGTCAAAACAATTTTATAGGAATCACCAAAGCGATTTTATCATGGTTTCTAGACCAGATTGGGATGTGAGGTAGGGATTTCCACAGCTGCTTTAATTTGAAGGAAATCTGATAAGATGATGCGAAAGCCCTTCAGAAATGTGTAATACACTTTGGTGATTCAATTCATTGTCAAAACTTTAGGTGTTTTTAATATTGTTATTGTTCATTTGGTTTTTACCAACATGAGTTGGCAATTATTTGTAAAACTCATGTCTTAGGCTAAACAAAGTCCAAAAAAATTCAGGATGAGAATTGTCTATTGCTTAATGTGTTTCAAATTTCTTCCATGCACATCTTTATTAGATCTTTACAGCAACCTACGGGATAAGCAAGACAGGTGCAAGTGCCTCCTTTAGGTATGAGGAAACAGATCTAAACAGATGAAGTGATTTGCCCAAGGTTCATAGCAAATTTACTGGTAGAGCAAGGACTAGAATTCAGATCTCTTAACTGCACCCTATTTTTCCTATTCTTAGCCATTACATCAGCATCAACAATTATATAATGGATTGGAATAGTGTACACAGGCAAATTGGCCATGTCAGGCCACTATTTTTACTTTAACTTCAATTCCAGAGTCTTGACCTGATTTCTCTCAAGACCCTACTTATCTTTCCCTTCGAGAAATTTATTTTTCTTGCATTATCTCTCCAGCTAAATTTTATTTAATCGCCATCAGCATGCTTTTTCCTTCATGCCATGTAGACCTGACCTGAAAAGCTGCCAGACTTTCACTGAGGTCAGCAATTAAAGAAGTAAAGTTTTAAGAAGCAATCAGTTGATGGGACATCAGTCATAAAATCAATCCAAACTTTTGTTGACATGTGTTTCTTTCCCCATATACCAGGTTCCCACTTGATATTAGTAAGACTGAAATTGAAATAAGCCTATTGCTGGTGGATGAATTTGTCACTTTCCTTGAAACTGGTGAACCCAAAAAGTTAGACAGCGATAGGAAAATACTGCCATTGTCTGTTAAGAACTCTATGACATTTCAAGGCAAGAATGAATATATGGAAGAAGAAACTTGTTTCTTCTTTACTAACACAAAGGAAAGCCTGGAAGTGAATGATATGGGTATAATTCGAAAAAAAAATAAATAAAAAAAAATAAAAAAAAAAAAACCTTTACGTAACGTTTTTGCTGGGAGAGAAGACTACGAAGCACATTTTCCAGGAAGTGTGGGCTGCAACGATTGTGCGCTCTTAACTAATCCTGAGTAAGGTGGCCACTTTGACAGTCTTCTCATGCTGCCTCTGCCACCTTCTCCACCAGAAGATACCATTTCAACTTTAACACAGCATGATCGAAACATACAACCAACCTGCTCCCCGATCTGCGGCCACTGGACTGCCCATCAGCATGAAAATTTTTATGTATTTACTTACTGTTTTTCTTATCACCCAGATGATTGGGTCAGCACTTTTTGCTGTGTATCTTCATAGAAGGTTGGACAAGGTAAGATGAACCACAGGCCTTTATTAACGAAATCTGAGGTCCTTACTAATTTGTAGGTTGGTTTGTTTTAGTTCTACCCAAATGATGGATGATGGTAGAAACCAAATAGAAGAATAGTCTTGTGGCATAATGTTTGTTGCCTAGTCAATCAAGTCTCATATTCTTGTCTCTGGTTAGGATCTTGGGATCTGGAGTCAGACTGCCTGGGTTCAAATCTTGGCCCGGCCCATACCATCTCTGGTATCCTGGGGCAAGTGCCTTAGTTTCCATATCTGAGAAATGGAGATGGTAATGGTGTCCATTTCATAGATTAAGTGAGTTTAGCCTTGTAAAGAGCTTAGGAGAGTGCCTGATATATGGTAAGCACTACATATGCACCAGCTGTAATTATTTGCTAAAGTTTTGCTTTAAAAGTAAGCTAATTTTATGGAGACAACTTTTTTTCTTTTAAATTTCCAAGTAGGCAAGAAGAGCATCAATTTGGTCTAAAAATTCATAGTGCTTCAGATTAGCATAGACATAGATAAGTCCTAGAATTTGCGGTCTTTTAGTAAAAGTAGCACTCTCTGTATAATTTTTCGTGAACACTGATTGTAGTTGCAAGATGCTCAGTTTCCCTCTGAAATGTTTTACATTTTTAAATGGTTAGACTTGCAGGAACAAAAGAGCAGAGTAACTTAGTAGGCTGTTTTGCATTCTTAGGAAAAGAAAACCATCAGGATTTATTTTGATTTCATGTCTTTTTTCACTTCCACTGAGGAGTATAATTGGCTGTGTTGACAAAATACCAATCATAGATATAAAGGAGAAAATTCATTAGTTTTCTGGCTGTTCCTAAAATTCTGGATGCAGGAACTGTGGCTGGAAAGCATCTGGATGATTGCACTTTATCAGGGATACTGGAGTGTCCTCTCTTAGGATGCGGACCTAGAATTAATGTTATGAGGTTTATATATCAGGATAAGGTAAGGCAGTAAGGGCTGAAGTCATCCACTGGGTTATCCAAACTTTAGGTTTCAGTACTGAGAAAAGAGGAGGCTTCTGGTCTGGTTGGTTGTTTGTGTTTGGCCTGATGTGCTCTGTCAATCAGATGTCTGGACATAGGCCTAGCTTTTAAAAGGGCAATAGGGACCTAAGTAATCTGAAATTTACCATAGTATTTGCAGGTGCTGTTAATGACCGCAAAAGCTGCCGGCTAAATGAATCTTGTTTTAAATCTAAAAAATCTACTCTTAAAGCAAGAAAATGGTACAAAATTACTTGATAATGCAAGTGAATTCTATACATTTAATTATTCTAAGACATTGGAAAAAATATCTTGTTGCTTTGAGGATAAAAGACGATTTCTTTAAAAATGCAAATGTTTTCTACAAATACTAAAGTTAAAAAGGGAGAGAGATGTAATTAGAACTCGTTAACTGACACATCGCAAATTAACTTCTTTTTATAAAACACTGCATCACAAACACTAAAATGAAGTGGGCAAATTAGCTCTGCAGAAAACTATTTTCTAGGCTGGTGTTTATCGTGACCAATCATTACTGGAGAATGCAAGTGAATTCTTTATGAATTTCTATGAGAAATGTGACAATTACAGAATATTGCTACTATAGTATGTAGAAAAAGTATGCGTTTTGTAATGAACATTTAGTAGAATAGCTCTGATTTCTACCTGGAGTTTCTGATAACATGACATTGTAATTGCTGGCTTTTACAGATTTTTAAACTGCAAATACAAAATAGCAATCAGCCAGTATAATAACTTATTATTCCCCATTTATGCCCGAAAGTCCTCCTCTTGTTGATGCCATGGAAATGAATGTAGAGGCCGATATCATTAGCTGTATTCTCCTTCAGAATAACATTTATCATATCAATGTTGTTTCAAAATAGATAGAAGATGAAAGGAATCTTCATGAAGATTTTGTATTCATGAAAACAATACAGAGATGCAGCACAGGAGAAAGATCCTTATCCTTACTGAACTGTGAGGACATTAAAAGCCAGTTTGAAGGCTTTGTGAAGGTAAGGAGCTTAGTTGTTGGTAAAAGTGTCATTAAAATGTTTTACTACATTTGCTAGATCGGGCAACTGGCAATGTCAATGTGTAATGATTGGTTATAGACAGACACACACACACACATATGTATATATATATAATGCATGAATACATGCACACATATATGGGTGTGTCTATGTGTGTTAAACATGCATACATACACATATACATGAGTGTGTGTGTGTTGAAAAACCAAAGACACTCTCCGAGGAAAATACACCCTTAGGGGCACAGTCACATACTCATGAGCTTACAATATGCAGCTACCACTAGGCAAAATGATAAAATCCACCAAGCTTGGTTTTTGAATTTCTGTGTCTCCCTATCCAAACCTTTATTCTCTCCCACTGTGGACCCATGGTCTGATCCCCATTTCCCAGAGAAATAGCCATGGACAGCTGCTGTGGCAGCAGGTCACAAGTGAAGGGACTCCTGAAGACTGGTAACAGTCTCTGGTGCTTCTCCGATGATGGAATTTTCAATATCCTGACAGTGAGCTCTTTCCCTTACACTGGGGATAGAGGTGAGGGGAATAAGTAATAGACATTCTCAGTGCTGCTCAAACCAGACTCCCATCTAATATCACTTGCTCGTGAAGCCAGTCCACTCTATGGCCAGTCATGACCAGAGGCACAGAGGGTTCAAAGCCTTCTAGCCCACCAGGCTGGTAACCAGCATGAAGTCACTGTAGTGACTATGGCTTGTAATGGATACCCCAAACAAGAATTTTTAGAGCCTTTACATTAATTCCATTGTCACAGACATGGTATCTAAGGGCTCTTTCTCGTGAGAACCTCAAGAGTTCTTTCTGCCTACGTCCCTCTGAGGACACTGAGTCAAATACCCTTGAGTCTCAGCTTACTTAGGGGTCATTTCCAGGGGGCAGCACTCCACATCGAGGACAGCCCTGGACCAGGTAGGTGGGTATCTGGGTAAACCAACAGGAATTAGTTCTCACATATAGATGACATGCAATGTATTAAAGGCGCAAAAGGATTAAGGTCCTATTTCTAACTGTATTCCTGCCCTCCTGTACTGTCACCAGGGTGTCATTTAATTCTAGTGAAGATTCTAACACCTTATTCCTGAGTCACCTACGGGTATCAGAATGCAGCTCAAATCCGCTGCTTGCTTTCAGGTTCTTTACATTAATCTAGGTTTTAGATGAAACTCCTAAACCCTTTCTTTGCAAGACTGGCCAGCTAGGAAAATGATTTGAGTTTCTTTGGTTCTTCAAGGATTTGGACCAGTATTACAGAGTATTGGACGGTGTTATAAATTTAAATGTGAATAAAGACAATTTCAAAATGATGGTTAATAATCCAAATAACAGACTGAATGTGCTTGACTGTGTGACTTTGGGTAAATAACTTCACCTTTCTGGGCCTCAGTTTTATCTATAACATGAGAAGACAGATTATCTGTAAGGGCACTATCAGCTCTGACATTCTGTAATTACGTGATAAGCCTTCAGTTCCTTCCAATGGTAGTGAGAGTGGTTTGTCAGTCACCCTCATTTCTTACAGAGACTTTTACGGTTGAATTGCAAATTCCTCATGCCATTATTTCAGGTTGGGTATGTATGTAAATCTCCCAAAATCAGCTACCAAGGATAGGAATAAGGTCAGTTTGGCCTCCATGCTTATGCTCGTATGAAAAAAGTGACAGCTTCAAAGTTTCATATTCTTAAAAGGCAGGTCTTCTCAGCCATGTCAGCCAGGGCTCCAGGGATCTCCTCCTTACATGCAACTGAAGGAGGGCCCTGGTGTCTACTGCAGCAGGTGTGGAACCCTAGTCAACACCATCTATACCTAGGATTATGCACAATGAGTAGATACAGAGTTCTCCAGCTGCCCAGTCCTCCCCCTATGACGGATCCTCTTTCCAATACCCTTTCCCCCAAATTTCTCACTCTTAAACAATATTTTAGACTTTGAAAAAAACTCAGTAGGCCAATTATAGAATAGCTCCAGATTGGATTCATATTTTGTCAGCTAATGTTAGCAGGCTTTTTTTTCAGGGCCACAGTCTGGCTGCACCAAAGCAACCTCAAGTTTGAATTTGGGGTCTTTGAATCATAGGGCTTGATGGGGTCTTAGAAGTCATCAGATCCAGTTCTCAATCCAGAACTTCAGTCTTCTCTCCACATCCTAAGTGGTCATCCAATCTCTGCTTGAACATCTCTGGTGACAAGGAACTCATTATCTTTGGAGGCAGGTAGCACTAAACTGTCACTTTGGGGGAAAGATGGTATTCAGGGCTCAAGTGAGGGTAAGCAGAGGTATCATTTTGAATAGCATGATTTCATATTAAAACTTACAACCCACCCCACCCCTGCTAGAATATTCAGTTTCGTGATTATTTGCCCAACAATGTCTGCGAGGTCTTTGAGAGAGTCTAAGCACCTCTGTTTCAAGGTAAAGGGCAACCTGTCCATACCTGCCACGTAGAACTCTCACTAAGAAAGAAATAACTCATTCCAGATTTTCTGAAAGTCCACTTTAAAAAGTATTTCAATTGAGGTGGGAAGTGAAGCAAGGAAAAAAAAAGGCTCTGGGGATTGTGGCTGGGGGAAAGTTCACGGAAAGGCTAGGCTGGGCTCATGAAACAAAAGCTTTGCTGACTTCATGTTTTCATCTTGGCCAGGCCTCAACACCAATGCAACCACTTAGCCTAAAAGTATCTCGACCTCAATCATCACACTCTACTTTTTGAAAAGACACTAAATAGTCATTTGTTTACTTGTGATCTCACAAACATTTTCCTGTCACTGCATCTTCATAGTGCCGCGCTTCAGCTCAAATGGAAAGTTGAAGCTCTGGGGCCCGTGTGAGCGTTCTGAGGCTCAGGTTCCCCTGGAGGCTCTATGACCTACGCCCTTAAATCTGGCAACTGAGCTGAGCCTACAGCAAGACTCTCAACAGTGACAACACAAATTCCTTCTGGGGGAGGAAAGGAAAGGAAGGGTCCTGTAGACAACTGATTCCAAGAGTGGGAAAGACCAGATAATCTTTGATTATCATAAGATGCGAAAATACTACTGTCGTCTTCCCTTTTTTTTCAGAAGATAGACAAATGTAATAAGCTAAGCCTGGCCTGTGAATGTTATCTCACTATTTCCACTCTTGGTTTAGACCTCAGCTTCTTTGGGTGACCTCATACTGACCAGTTAAGCCCTCCAGGCCTTTTGTTCAGTCTCTTTAAAATGGAAGCAATAGTCTTGATTATCTTCCAACCTATGTGGATGGAAGTTCCTATTAGCTTCTTTAAATACCTCTAGCTTTCCTTCAGTTTATAAGTGAAAAGAAACCTTTTAAAAAGTGTCGCATTTGCCTTTGAACATCAGCGCCATTGGAAGATGACCTGTGTTTCCTGAGTGCTGATTATTCTGAACAAATACAATGCAACTATCAACAAGAGAATCTCTTCAACCCATTGAAAGGGATAACAAAATTAAAAATGTTGGGAGGTCTTTTCATAGTCTGGGATTTCTCTCTCAAGGTCAAACTTACTGTTATCCTTTCTTACAAGATTTCAGACCAATTGTATTCTAAGAGATACACACCATGCTTTATGTTTAATAATATTCCATATACCAGTTCCAAGGGTAGAATCATCTCCCCATTCAACATATTTGTCAGTATCTGTCAAAGCCAGGGAGTTTGAGGTCATAGGAAGGGTCAGGATCGCAGCCTCTGGTCTGGAGAGAGCACTGGAACGAAGATAATAGGCCTGGATTTTACTTCCAGATTCTCCCCTGGGCTTTCTGGGTTGTTGGCTCATCTGTCAGAGCCATGGACTCCCAATTGGTATGATGGAATTAATGACAGGATCTGAGTCTATATGATAATCTTCACCAGAAACAGACAACAGAGTAATGACAGATGCCAAACAAATGATAACTTTAAAACCCCACAGCAGAGCCCCTGTCAAAATAACCTCTTGCAATGATTCTTATTTTAGGATATAATGCTAAACAAAGAGGAGAAGAAGAAAGAAAATAGCTTTGAAATGCAAAAAGGTAGGCTTGCTATTTACTAATTTCTATGAACATCTAAAAACTAAAAGGAAGTTTTATTTAGTCTGATCATATTGAACAATCCAGTGTTGTTGAATCAGGGAACTTTTAGTCCTGGAAATAAAACAGGAACACGATTGTCAAATTGACACCTTGTCTGGTCCCTGTGACTTGGAAAGGCTTTGTACATATATATTTATGAAAAGGGATATGCTCCTTTAATGCCAATGATACCAAATCTGAAGAAATCCCATTATGTTCAATACCTTAATTGAAGCAACCATGCAGCCTGGTACCACCTACAGTGGAAAGAGATGACAGGAAAGTCATCATTCAGTAACAGTGGCATTCATCACTCATTGATAACCATTTTTCATGGTGCACAGTGGCCGGTGGAGCCTCTGGGAGCAAGGAGTGACAGTGTCACAGTGTTCTATTATTTGCCCTGTTCTTAAAGTCAGAGCATCCTGAACATCTCAGGGTTCGAAGACACCTTGATGGCTCTCAAATCCAGCACCACCCCCACAACACAAATCTCCTTCACAATAGCGCTGACCATCCAGCCTCTGATCAAACATGTCTTGGGATGAAGCACGTTACACCTCATAAGGCAGCCTGATCTATCTTTGAATGGCTCTAATACTACTAAGATTACTATACTACTTGAGAGAAGTCTTTCCTCCTCGAGTTAAACTTTGTTTCTATAATCTCCATTTAGTTGTCCCAGTTCTGCTCTTTGAGGCCATAGTAAACAAAGTATAATTGCTCTTTTTCCCAGCAGCTGTCCAGATATGGAAGACAGCAATCATGGCCACAAAGGCGTGACTGAGCTTTTTCTTCTCCAGGCTAGAGATCCCTGATATCTTCCACTGTTCCTCCTATGACCCTTTCCAGGTCCATTCCTCCAACATTCATCTCCTTTTCTTGGACACACTAACTTTTCCCTTTTCCTTTTAGAACGTGGTAACCCAAACCAATACAATAATGCCTGAAGTGACTTTAGCAGCAGATTATGGGAAAGAGGGAGTGTTGTTAGAGAGAATATTATATCACAAAGTTGATGAACATGATGTTATGTCTTCTGCAAATTTAATACACACAAAGACATATATCATACAGAGGTAGAGATACTATTTTCTGAGGCAAAGAGAGTACTCAGAGCTTGCCTTAACTGTTGTTCTGGATGCTAAATGGTCATCGGACTTCCATGAAGGTTTTATCTTCAGAATGACTGCAAGATATGTTGCATAGTAGTAGCATGCTGTCTGTTAATTACAGAGAAGTCTGAGGAAACAGTTTATGCAGATGCTGTCTATAAGTCTTCAGGGAAATGATAACATTAACCAAACTGGTCATTTAGGTCATGCAATTTGACTCAACGTTTATAAGGCACTTACAAAGTACCCAACATCAGGCTCATAACTGGACAAAAAGAAATTTCCACACAGCCTCCGCCCTTAGCAGATTGGCACATCTCATTAAGGAGCAGGGCTTTAAGATGAGAAATAATTAAAGATAGATACAATAGTTCGGCCAGTTGCTTGACCAGATCAGAAACCGTAAGAATCTTACTAAGTATACAGACTTTGGAGCACACTAAAATTCACAATGTATGGGTGGGAGTTGTGCCTAAAAGCAAGATTCACGGTATGTTTAACGAAGTCCAGTGTTTTTAGCCTGTGTCAATGTACGCAAAATGGAATTGAGTACTGATTAAGTATTAGGAGAATGAGATCAATGGAAATAGCCAATTCAATTACTCAGATATTAGAAACCAACTTTTCCTTCAGTGGGAGGGATTTCAGACCATTTTATCCTTCCTTTTACATAACCTGTTTGTGCACAATCTCTATTACACTGTTGTAGAACTGGACCAAATAGTTTTGTGGGCAGTTTTTGCATTACCTTAGCCTGACAGATTGTTGTTGGTTTCATTTCAGGTGATCAGAATCCTCAAATTGCGGCGCATGTCATAAGTGAGGCCAGTAGTAAAACAACATCTGGTAAGTCACACAGCATCTGCGCAGTAGCAACTCAAGGGGAAAGGCTGGGATGCCAAAGTCATGTTACCTAATGGTTAGACTCCTCTTTTCCCCTGGGACCCAATTTACACACCTACCCTTATACTTCTCCTATTCCCTTCTTTGTCTTCAACGTGAGTTCAAATGCACAGATGGGACTTAGAAAGACAAAAGGAGGTGGAATGCAATCTCAATGTTCTCATTATGTTCTTGCTCAGTGGCTGATTCTAAATGATGAATTACTGGGTGGAGAGATCATTATTCTGACAACATAGAAGAGATGGCAGGTAGTGACCTCCTGACTGGGAGCATCCCTCCTCCTAACCCCTCTTCACTGTGTGGAAATAGGCCTTGTGGGGTATTTCCTGCCATCTGTCAATCCCTGTATGATTAAGCTCAGGCTCGCTGAGGCCAACCTCAGGGAAATTAAAGGTAAAATCATTCTGTAAAGATCAATAGGTGCCAAGACGTTAGATTTTCCAGTGAAGTAACAGCAGACGACATATTGTGATCTTTTCAACTTTGAACGATTTTATTTCCATATACGTTCTGCCACCATTCTAGCCTTTAGATATTTTTTTCCCAAATGCGTACCTTGCAATAACTGATGCCAGAGATTATGTCGTATCTGATAAATGGATGGAAACATGCACGCTAACGTAAAGTTACCCATCAACATAAAGACAACAGCGTCAGAGGAGTCTGAAAAATTCAACAGAGTACTCCAGAATGGAGTTCTAAACTGTGCGTGTGTGTGTGTGCGTGTGTGTGTGTGTGTGTGTGAGAGAGAGAGAGAGAGAGAGAGAGAGAGAGAAACAGACACAGACAGAGAGAGAGAGAAGACACTGCTTCATCTCTGAAGTGGCTTGGGCTTCTCAGTGGGTGTAACACATGGACAGTTATCATTAACATATACAATGATAGTAGAAATCACATGTAATGGCAGAAAGTGATGCTGTTAAGTGTTGTACAACTGTAAGGTGACACCTCGTAGTTTACTTCACCATGGCTTAGATGTCAAAAGAGTGATGTAAAGTCCCTCAGTATCAGTTAGTTGCACAATATTTAATAATTTTGTCAGGTACCCCTTCTCTCTTCTGGATTGGATGACAACAGATAAATCTCCTAGAAGAATAGCTTCCCACTGGTCTTTTTTTCACCTCTACCTAAACCCTTGATCTTGGATATATTTCTTGGAGCTCAGATTCTCCCAAAAGGCTTGTAATGAATATCAGCTCTGTAATATCTTACACTCTGCAACCCAACAGGTTTGCAGGGGATCAGGTGGGAAGACAATGCCATTCCACCTCCACCCCAGTCCCAAACCTCTTCTTCCTATCTAACCATGCTACTAATATCTTGCCCTACATCTCACATCAAGGACTAAAATTAGGTAAGGACCTACCAAAGTAAACTTATTGAACTGAAAGTTTAAGAACCTGCCTTTTTTTTTCTCAATAAAATGGTTCAAAAGAACACACATTCTAATGGAGCATTGTTTCTGGAGTGGTCAGGAGGGCCCAGATCTGTCAGGAATTTCAGGATGCCTTTCTATTAGTAAAGGGCGAGTCTTAGCAGGTGGGATCTTCTGCCCTGATAGACATAAGGCTATAGAATAGGAATTATTAAAAAAAAAAAAAAAAAAAAAAAAAAAAAAAAAAAAGCTCAAGGAAGCAAACACATCAGTACTTTCACTTCTCCTCAACCCTCACCCTCATCAGTCAGTCTAGCTTTCTGTGGGAGCTGAGATTTGAAGTCAGGTGCACACACTACTTTGAACCCACTCAACATCACAGCTGAGAAAATGGCACACTGTTGGTGGGTACTCTGGCTTAGCCACAAGAATACAGGTACTTTCAAGTTGGTGGCGCCCACTGCAATGGGAGATCAAAACATACCGTGAAATGAACACACAGTTTATTTTCATACTTCCTTGCCTAATTTTAGTCCTTGTTGGGGGAGGCAGGTCAGGTTTGCAACAGCATGATCAGGTAGGAAGAAATAGGGTCTTTTCTCTGTGCTAAATCTGAGCTAGATAGACTGACAACTCTTTGACTTTGTAAAATTCAAGGCAAGCAAGGTATTCATGTTAATATTAGCAAAAGTTTTGTCTGAGTAATTTGGTATGCATAACTTACGATGTAGAATTTTGAAATCATTTGTACCTTCTTAAGTCCAAGGCAAGTTGGCTATAAGAACTCTAACAAGAGAAAGAAACTCACTGTGATCTCTTACTTTATTTAATCTTCACAAGTCTCTGAAATATGCTCTAATATGAGCCCCATGTTGCAGATGAGGAGTGAAGCTCAGGGAGATTAAGAGACTTGCCTAAGCTTAAGTAGAGGCTGGATTAGAACATGGCTCTGAAGCCCATGGAAGGGGCCTTGAGAATCTATTCCCATACCAAGCCAGTATCCAACATTAAGCTGTGCTTTTTGTCAGAATGTGAACTATGTTCTGCTTCACCTCACCACAACACTTTTTCTCTCTTTGTAACAGTGCTACAGTGGGCTGAAAAAGGATACTACACCATGAGCAACAACTTGGTAACCCTGGAAAATGGGAAACAGCTGACCGTTAAAAGACAAGGACTCTATTATATCTATGCCCAAGTCACCTTCTGTTCCAATCGGGAATCTTCGAGTCAAGCTCCATTTATAGCCAGCCTCTGCCTAAAGCCCCCCAATAGATTCGAGAGAATCTTACTCAGAGCCGCAAATACCCACAGTTCTGCCAAACCCTGCGGGCAACAATCCATTCACTTGGGAGGAATATTTGAATTGCAACCAGGTGCTTCGGTGTTTGTCAATGTGACTGATCCAAGCCAAGTAAGCCACGGCACCGGCTTCACGTCCTTTGGCTTACTCAAACTCTGAACAGTGGAACAGTGTCACCTTGCAGGCTGTGGTGCAGCTGACGCTGGCAGTCTTCATAACACAGCACAGCAGATAAGCCCACCCCCTGTTAACTGCCTATTTATAACCCTAGGATCCTCCTTATGGAGAACTATTTATTATATACTCCAAGGCATGTAGAGCTGTAATAAGTGAATTACAGGTCACATGAAACCAAAACCGGCCCTGCTCCATAAGAGCTTATATTTCTGAAGCAGCAACCCTACTGATGCAGACATCCAGAAAGTCCTATGAAAAGACAAGGCCATTATGCACAGGTTGAATTCTGAGTAAACAGCAGATAATTTGCCAAGTTCAGTTTTGTTTCTTTGCGTGCAGCGTCTTTCCATGGATAATGCATTTGATTTATCAGTGAAGATGCAGAAGGGAAATGGGGAGCCTCAGCTAACATTCAGTTATGGTTGACTCTGGGTTCCTGTGGCCCTGCTGGAGGGGGCCGGGCTCTAGACTTTAGAATGTCTAACACAGTGGAGACCCAAAAACCCTGCCCTGCCACCCACTCAGTTATTCATTCCCTTTCAATCTCTCTCTCTCTCTCCATCTCTCTCTTTCAATCTCTCTCTCTCTACCTCTTTCTCCTAGTCTCTCTCTCCCTCTGTCAGTCTCTTTTCTCCCCAGTCTCTCTTCTTAATCTCTCTTTCTCTGTCTCTCTGCCTTTCTCTCTCTCTCTCTCCATCTCTCTCTCTCTCTCCCCATCTCTCTCTCTCTCTCTCTCTCTCTCTCTCTCTCACACACACACACACACACACACACACACACACACACACGAGTTAGGCTGTTGCTAGTCAGTTCTCTTCTTTCCACCCTGTCCCTATCTATCTCTACCACTGTAGATGGGGGTGAGGAGTGGGCAGTGCAGCCCTGAGCCTGCCCACTCCTCATCACGAAATGACTGTATTCAAAGGAAATCTGTTGTATCTACCTGCAGTCTCCATTGTTTCCAGAGTGAACTTGTAATTATCTTGTTATTTATTTTTTGAATAATAAAGACCTCTTAACATTATTGGTGTTGTCTGAGTACCTAAAGCTCTCAGCCAGGTTGGGGGAAGAGGAAGCATTTGGAGGAAATTTTCCCAACCTTTGTGATGTTTTCATAAACAGTTCTTAAGCTGCTTACATCGTAAAATATCTTGGTGGCGGCACATTTTCTAGAAGTCTGTGACAGCCTTTGATGGATGATGTGCTAGCCTATTCAGTGAAAAGCAATCTAGGTCTTTATTTACAGCTTCTTCTGAAAAAAGTTGCAGGAGATTGATAGAATTTTTTTTTTTTTTTTTTTTTTTTTTTTTTTTTTTTTTTTTTTTTTTTTTGAGACGGAGTTTCGCTCTTGTTACCCAGGCTGGAGTGTAATGGCACGATCTCGGCTCACTGCAACCTCCGCCTCCTGGGCTCAGGCAATTCTCCTGCCTCAGCCTCCTGAGTAGCTGGGATTACAGGCACGCGCCACCGTGCCCAACTAATTTTTTGTATTTTTTTAAGTAGAGACAGGGTTTCACTATGTTGACCAGGATGGTCTCGATCTCTTGACCTCGTGATCCACCCGCCTCGGCCTTCCAAAGTGCTGGGATTACAGGCTTGAGCCACCGCACCCGGCCAGAATTTTTTTTTTTTTTTATTAATCACAGCCAAGTGGGCTGGATGGGGGGTCCTTAAATAAGAAGCAGTGGCATATCTTATTAATAGCTGTCTAGGTGGTTCCACTTAGGCAAGAGGAAATGGAGCTGGGAAACCTAAGGGAAAGTATTGGCCCCACAGTTTTCCACTGAAGTCAATGGAGTCATTTCTTGTCACCTCCAACAGAGGAATTTTTCATGTAAGAAACCCGGAGTGGTGTGTTCATCTCTACTGGTAAAGTTCTACCTGCTCACTGTGGGCTGTCTCCCTGGTCTCATGGTTTTAACTTAGCAGCACCTTCAAGCCACTAATGCCATGCCTTTTGTTCTCAACTGTCTTCTAAAATTTGCCTGCACTTCCAAAGAGTGGGCCTAGGCCCCCAAACCCAATGCATCCCAATGGAACTCTTAATTACCCCCCCCTCCACAATAGGATGTGTTCAATGTTTCCTGTTCCATTGAATGATAATCTTCATCTATCCTGTTTTTCAATCCAGAAACCTGGCTTGACTTTATTGCCATCATCCCCATGTTCAATCCCTCCAGCCTACACTCATCAATCTTATCTCTTAAGTAGTTTTTAAGTTAATCTATTTCTTTCTATCTCTACTATTGCTATCCTAGTCCAAACTATCACCAACTCTCTTCTGGAATAGTACAACAGCCTCCTAGATTCTCTCCCTCCACTCTTGTTCCCTTCCATCCATTCTCCATGAACAGTCAGTCCCCTGCTTCTTATGAACCTTGGAATAAAGACCGAAATAATCAGTTTCATCTCCTGCTGCCACCTCTCTTGGTCTCTTGAGTTCTAGCCCTCAGTTTCTCTAAGCAAGGTTACAAATGCTTTCCTACCTTAAGACCCTGGAATACTGTTTTCTCTTCTTGTAAGACCCATTTCCCTCCCTCCACTGCACCCTGCACTCAGCAAGTTTTACAGCACTTATCATGGCTGAGGTTTTCCCTGCTACGCTGTGAGCTTCTTGAGCACCAAGACCTTGTTCCATTCACCATGACAACTTCAGCGTCTACCACAGGACCCAGCATTGAATTGGCCACTTACTTGGTGCATGAAGGAATAAATAAATGAATAAATGCAGCTGTTCATAACTCAGTAGCCCAGGAAATAATTCTGTGTTGGCTGAGGCAAAAATCTGTGACACTGAAACGATCCTCACTGTGTCAAAAATATCTGGATGATAAAAGTGCACTCATGGAGTAAAAAATGACTTAGAATTATGCTGTAGATAAAAATAGATAATATGTTTTTATTATATTACATTTCATGATAATTTACAAAATAATATATGTTTGTTCCAAACTTCAATTGAACATTTTCAGCATTTTCCTTATATGAAAAAGCCTCGCGTACATTTCTGATTTACCTGTAATAGCCTGATCATAAATTATCTAATTTGGTTCCATTTTTATAAACATGTCACTTCTGCCTTTTATCTTAACGGGGAGGATGGGAATGTTGGAACTACCCAATAAGTTTTGTTTCTAGATAAAGAGAAAATAAACAAAGGATAAAATATTACTGCCTCTGTTACTTAATGGTTAGCAAATGACCACAAAATGCAGTGTGCTCTAGCAAGCTGTCAGTACAGGGGCGTCCCCACTTAAACGGAAATGACATGTAAACTTTGGGGCTTCAGGAGGGAATACATTCTGTGCTACATTCAACTATTTTCACAGGACTCAATGCCACTGTGTTGGGAGCTGCATTGCTTTAGGCTTTTAAAGTAGTCTGAAGTACTCTGAGACACAGAAACATAGAACTAAGTATGATTTTTATGTTCTTTTTCTCTGTGAACCACATCCCCATTAAAACAAAATAAAACAAAACCAGAAATTCTCATTGTACTGTAGTAGTTAAATCTGGAGTCAGACAGATATAGTCTTAATCTAGGCTCCACTATTAACCAGCTTTATAAATACAGGCAAGTCATTTCACCTCTTCTAGTCCTCAATGTCCACATCTGTAAAGTGGGAATATAAAGAAGACATGCTGGGCCAGTCATGATGGCTCACGCCTGTAATCCCAGCACTTTGGGAGGCCAAGGCAGGTGGATCACTTGAGGTCAGGAGTTCAAGACTAGCCTGGCCAGCATAGTGAAACCCTGTCTCTACTAAAAATACAAAAATTAGCCTGTTACAGTGGCACGTGCCTATAATCCCAGCTACTCGGAAGGCTGAGGCAGGATAATCACTTGAATCTGGGAGCAGGAGGTTGCAGTGAGCCAAGATGCAGTGAGATTGTCCACAGAAAGTCCCCAGCAGAATCTCCTTTCTGGAGAAGATCATCATGTAAGGAGCACTAAGGTGGGTCTCTACATGGTCCCCAGCACACTGGTCTGCAATCAATGGTGCAAGTGGAAAGGTTGCTATCTTAAAGGACTGAAACCTCTGATACCAAGGAGAATGCCTGACAACCCAGGTACACATAAGAGGCCTGGCTCATGTACTAAATCAAAGACCACACGCAATGTGAAGCAAAGTGAAACCAGAAAGAAAGAAAAAGAAAAAGAAAGGAAGGAAGGAAGGAAGGAAGGAAGGAAGGAAGGAAGGAAGGAAGGAAGGAAGGAAGGAAGGAAGGAAGCGAATGAGGGAAGGGCAAACATTACAGTAGACCTGTGGATGGCAAAGACTCTTTTTTTGTGGTATAGTTTAATTGTCAAAAACTGTTAAGCACTGGGGTCTTCAGGTCGCCAAATTTTTCAGTAGGTTTGAGAAGTTCTATATTTAGGAATGTTTGTTTAAAAGACAATGACCATTGATTCTTAGTCTAATGGGCATTAGCACACAAACCTTCCCCTTCCATACCACACTTTCACACTCCTCTGAATAATTCTTCAAGCAATTCAGCAACTTTCAGGGAAACCAGTTAAATATGTAGTTATTTTTCCCTTTCCGACTCCTGCAGTTCCACTGAGTTATCTATAAAGTAGTTGCATCCATGGGTCTGGAGATCAGGAGAAAAGTCAGAATGGAAAACTGTGGACATGGGAGTCATCTGCATTCTGATAAATAAAGTTATGAAGATAGACAAGGTTGTCCAGGAATAAGCTATAGAATGGAAGAGATGAGGAAAAGAGGATCAGCAATGTTCAGGGGACAGGCCAAGGAGGCAAGTCCAGCAAAGGAGACAGGGGTGACTAAATGAATGCCAAGAAAGTGTGGGCTGATGAAAATCAAGGAGGGAGAGATTCATCAAGAAGTCAAGGGTCAATACTGCAGAGACTTCAAGATGAGGATTGAAAAACCCATGGATTTGTCAATTACAAGCTTAATGGTGTCTTCACAAAGGGGGATGGCTGAGGTAGGAACTTTAGCAGGTACCAAGTACAAAGGAGGCTATGTGATGGAGAGAGCATGGGTCCGAGAAGTAGACAGACTAGGGTTTCAAATCCCAATTCCACCATGTACTAGCATGTTGCTCAACATCTCTGTGCCTCTGTTCATTTGTAAGCAGAGATAACAATAGCAAATACTTAATAAGGTTGTTGTGAGGCTTTCATGAGCTTAATCATGTAAACCACTTAGCACAGTGCGTAGCACACATGGAGTGCAATGTTCTATCTATTGGCTCAGAGCAGGAATAATAAACCACTGAAGATATCTCAGGCAGAAAGGTAATTAGGTGTCTACAAAACAACTGGGGCAGAGAAGTGGAAGTCAG